ATGGATGGATGGATGGATGGATGGATGGATGGATGGATGGATGGATAGATAGATAGATAATGATATAATTGAGAGAGAGAGAGAGAGAGAGAGAGAGAGAGAGAGAGAGAGAGAGAGAGAGAGAGAGACAGAGAGAGAGAGGGAGAGAGGTGATATAATTGTAATAGATAGATATGATATAATTGTGAGATAGATAGACAGACAGACACAGATAAAACGCTCCTCCAACTCAGCAGTAAACTCAGCTGTTTTTCAAGTGCCACATAGGGATTTTCTGGGGCAAAACTCACCCAGGCCATATTTTTATTAGGCCAAGCATAGAACCAGAAAAGCCACGCGGATTGCGGAGAAACCCCAAGTAAGAGCCACGTCTGAAAAGGCTCAATCTTTGGCCAGCCGCGGAACTTCACTGGGAGAAGTAATCGCTCGTTCTTGCAGGTTGGCCTACCTTACAGGGAGGGTTTGGAGCGGGGGGGGGAAGAGGGGTGTAAACTTGCCTTCAGCTTTTCCTTCAGAGTCTGATATAAAAATAACTATCGAAGGCGAACATGCGTGTCCCAGGATAACGTTGCAGGATCCAATCCGGGTCGGTCTAACATATAAAATTACATATGAAAACTACATGTAAAAAAGGGAAGGGGGAAAACCAATAAGGGTACACAACCCCACGGATCAAAAAGTTCCGGCCGTCGGATGTCAATAAAGACAGTACCTTCCGGTTCTTTCTGGGAGCATAAAGAGCACGCCCACTTTAAACGGACTCAACTTCCGTTTCCTTTCCGAAGGAGAGCGAAGTGGTTGACGATAGAGTCTAACGGCTGACTGCACTTCCGGATAGGATGACCATAGATTGGATTCCTAGACTCATACGCAACTGGCTTCTCCCTCTCTCCCTCCCTCTTCAGAAGCATCATGGCTCATAGCAAGCGATGTCCAAACGCAGAATTTTAGTTTTTTAAGTTTTAGATTAGAATGTAGACAGCAGAGCAAACAAACACTTTGACAACTAACATAAGAGACTCTGATTTTTAAGAGAAATCCTATATTTCTTCCATGGCTCTCCTGATGCCAAATTTGCTGGAAACCCACTTCATATTACACAATTTTACAACTTGGAAACTCCAGGACATGGGGGAGATTTTATGATTGGTTAGAAAAGAGATACAAATAGAAAGAGAAAGGAATGGATGGATGATAGATAGATAGATAGATAGATAGATAGATAGATAGATAGATAGATAGATAGATAGATAGATAGATAGATAGATAGATTCAGTGACTCCATCCA